TGTTATTATAAGTTTATAGTCAATCCAAATCTCACTGAGATTGTTAAAATGCAAATATAAAGACAAGGGTATTTTTAAATAAGAAAAGTAATAACATGTTTCCATATTACTATAATAGCAGATAACCGATTTTTGTATTGAATTTTTATTTTCGCCGGGGACTGTAAAATATTCAGTAGAGAGCAGGTAATTTAACATTCTTGAAGCATTAAAGTCCTTCCGGTAGTTTAAATGTAAGAGACGCAATGTATGTCTTTCAAGACCAGGGTGTCCGCAAGTCATATTGAAGATAACATCACGCACAACACCTGGAATAATCACAGCCATCTGGCGGACACTTTTGAGAAACTCATCTACTAACGAATCAAACATAACGACCTTTTTTTTCAAGATATTATTTAAATCGAATAGCAAGCGTCGTTTTTCCAGATTCTGGGGGACTACGCAGGAGGGCAACCCATTGTGAGGTCATAAATTCATCAATATACTGTAGGCGTTCATCGAAAATAACAACAAGCGCGTCCGATCCTTCACCCGTAGATAGAATGGATTCGTATTTTCGTTTCAATGAAAACCTGCAAACAAAAAGATAACGTGTTATCTATAATGCACAATGTGAACATAACAGACGAAAGTCAATCTAGGTCTGTGATCATAGTTTCACCACAAGTATAGAAAGAAACACCTACTCTACCCTATATACACCGAGTCACAAAGTCGTTACCTGTGCTGACTATCTTCAGGTTTGACCATATGTTTAGCAGCACGGTGGCCACAGTCGGAGCAAGTTCTTCGCAACACTTGAGATCACAGTCTTTCATTTCCGATCAGACGAAAGATGGTTGGGTAAGATGTGCTGCGCGATGTGATCTAATATACTGACACCGATCAGTGGCTTAATCAATGACGTATATTAGGAACTTTCGCAATGTCTGTTAGAATGCGTGTATTATGAACAAACAGGTTAACTTACTTCAGAAATCAACCACAACGCAATAAATGTCGTTGAAGCAATACATCGTCAACTTTTCACATTCTTTTTCGGAGTATTTATTGGCTTTGTTTTCGGCCTGTTGATAAATGGCATTCTCTATTGGACTTTTGATCATTGCAACAAAATACAGTAGTTTATGGCAAACTCAGTAATATGGGAATATTAATTAAGAATATGAAGTCCAGAAAATCATCAATAACAGGAACGATCTACCAAAATTTTCATTTAACAAAATGGTATTTGTTGTTGCAGCTTCTACTATACGAAATTTTTACCTACGAAGAACAAACCCACCATTAAGGCAATTCAACGTTGGATTGATGAAGCGAAGATGACGAAGATAAAAATAAAGAAATAGAATATTAATAATAATAGTGATAGTAAAGAAGAATGAAATTTAAATTTGCACTAGAATGACCAAAGAATAGGTTATACTCATCGATGTACTGTACCTTCTAACCTTATCAGACATACTAATACAATTGGGGTTTCCTCTATGAATGTAAGTTAATTGAATTTCTTCCACTTGTTATTGGTGAATAAAAGCGAGAGATAAAAGATGCAGATAACAGCTTGGGAAAAGTGTTTTTCATTTTCACAATACATATGCGTGACCAATGTCATAGGCACTAGTCAACGATTTCACAAGAGACGCGTAATCTAATAGTTGCATTTGCAGTATACATATGTATATATGCTCAATCGTATAATATTTTGTGCGGATGATGAGAATGACGTTACAGTAAACTATTCTCTTGAACGACAGCATAATAAAAGAGATGTTTATTGACCGGAAAGAAATTTATTAACGAGAAACTTATCCTTAGGAAGCGACCATGCTTAGTTTAATATTTATAACACATTGATTGTTGTTGCACAACGTCTAATACCCTCCCTTCCCTCTCTCTCTCTTTCTCTCTCCAGCTCCATCCCAAGGTAAGTAATAATAATAATAACTCTGCTCAAAAATGCAACATATCTATTACTATTGCATTCTTTTTAAATTAAGAATCTATATTAGTCTATTAGCCAAATTTTGATTACAATAATTTACTTTTATGACAACTCAACAGTTTCTGGCTGTTGTTGTTGATATTGTGAGTGACTTCTCCATAGGTGAAATCGTTGTGATAAAGAAGCTAGGTGCTGTTTGATACCTACAAAGTTCATTTGTGTCATGTTGAGACATCACAACAGAGAAGCAATTGATTCAGTCAAACCAACTTTTACCTTTCATTGACCATATTTCGTTAAACTTGATTTGCATGTACCACAATGGAACGCCCGCTACTATGAAGCAAAGAGCAGCTAATGATTCCAATGGCACCATAACAAACGGCATTATTATCAAGAACAGCGAAACGAAACAGAATATAATCGGTGTTGTTATCCAAACACGATATGGCCTATATACAATAATAGGATTAAACTATTAAAATATGTAGTGTATACAACCAACTTGGTGGTTTGACTGCTGCCATGATTCAAGCATAAACATCCTTCAAGTCCTTAGCGACCCAAATTAATGTCACAAACTCCTGTCAAATTACAAACCTGTTTAGCGTTGGTTCTCTCCATCTTAAAACCAACAATCCAAACGTCGTCAAAAAATAGAACAACCATGCGGCTACCGAATAAAAGTTAACGAGTGTAGTAAATGTTCCAGGAATGATCATAATGATTGTTAATACTGCTTGCAATGCTAACGCCATTGTCGGCGTATTCCATTTTGAGTGAATCTTTCCAAATACCGCAGGCAGATAACCTTCTCTACTGGCAACATATATCACTCTGCTGCCGGTAAAGAGACTACCGTTAGCAGCTCCGAAACAACTAGCTGCTACCAGAAGCGCAAAAAAGATCCCGCCAGCACTACCGAATACCTGTCTTCCAAAATCCTATGTAACACAAAAGTAAAATCTCAGTTACGCATCAAAAGCACACGGATTATCATCTACGCTGAATAAAGCAAAGCTAATTACCAAAGCTATTGTATTCGTTTTAGTTACTACGGATGATGGAAGAACAGCGTAGTAGGCCACGTTTGTCAGCAGGTAGCAAAGAATCACTATTGGAAGACCGACCATTGTCACTCGTGGCAAATCACGCGCAGGATTCTTCATTTCGCCAGCAACAAAATTTAAATTATTCCTAAGGCAATTAATCGAGGGATTAACAAAAAATGGGTTATATTCGCCAATAAACAATATATTACCTTTAGATAAAACATTTACCAGCCATCGTATGCCCAGAGCCCTGAATTCAATCAAGCTTCAAACACGTCAGTAAAAATTTTCAATACCATTTTTGATTGATGATAGCTGAAAAAACACACCTGAATAAATCGCTAATGCGTAGTCTCCTGCATTGGTAGAACTGCCTTCGAATATACCTTCCTCGATATTATCTTTCAACCCTCCCTTCCCAAGAACAACAAATCCAATAATAGTAATCACGGCCAACGCGACAAGCTTAAATGCTGTGAGAATATCTTGTGTCCGAGTAGCTAGCTTGACCGAATACGCATTAATAAAAGAGATAATGACAATACAGATGCTTGCCATTATCTTATTGAACCATTGATGTGTTTTCTCTGTCGGATGATCTGATTCGTTCTCAAAGGCAGTGTGGTAGATTATACGGTTAACATATTCAGCAAAAACCGTGGCAATGATTGCATTGCTGCCAGGCTAATGTAGAAACTTGTAAGTTCCAGCATCAATACACGTTTTGCAGACACAACCCGTGGATTTTTGGCAATGCCTACCTTTAAACAAGTAATTGCCGTCCAACTATATAGAAACGCGGGCAAGCTCCCATAAGCGTGATTTAAATACGCATATTCACCACCCGATAACGGTATTTCAGCACCCAATTCTGCATACGACAGAGCGCCCGTAAAAACCAACACGCCGCATACAAACCACACCACCAGCGACATCCCGACGGAACCTGCGTGCGAAGCCACCGGTCCGGGAGAAGCAAAGATTCCTGAGCCGATTACCAATCCAATGACCAGCGTTAATCCATTAATAAAACCAACTTCTTTCTTCAACTGACTAGGTCGTTTTTGGGTTTCCGAAAGAGACAAGGGAATTCTGTGATCGTCAAAGTCGAAGACTTCGCTCGGTCTACGGAAGAAGGCTTGCTGATCGTTATCAGTATAATCTTCGTCTTCATCCTCATCCTCGTCCTCTGAGAGATTCCGGAGCTCGAACGCCTCTGATAGCTCTTCGGAATTGTCAAAGAGGATTGTCCGTTCTTCAGCGTCTGAGGAAGTCGACATTTTTGTGCAATACTCGAGAGAAATATCTGTATGGCAAAATATAATATATCTTGATCGTGTGACGTCACCAGTTATTATAATACGATTGATATTAATATTGTGATATTCACATTCTCTTATTAGATGAGTTTATGAGTTTGGAAACGCAATGCATGTTAGACATGTTTACAAAAAGAACTAAGCACGTACAATCATACAAAAAGAATATTATTATCGCCCGTCTACATGAATATGAATTCAATGGCTAAAGCTTTGATTAATTGGCATAGTAATGGACTAATTTTTGTAAACCCATGCTATGCTATGACAAGTATGAACAACATTCAAATTAGCTTAAAGACCTCGAAAACTCAAATTTGCTTAAAATAATAAAACTATCATAACATGTTAATAAAGGACTGTATAAAATATAAATTTGAAGCATTCTAAAGAAGAAAAAATGGCTCCATATAATTTTAGAACCAATGATACCAAAATCCTTGAGATAAAGAAAAAATCACGTATGAAATTTATCAAAAAACCAATAAACGAACATTCCCACAAAGGCCTCCACTGATCGAGCGACCTCTGTATCAACGAAAGATCATTCCTTATAATCTTTGAACGCATTTATTGAGCATTTCGCTACTTTGACACAATCAATTGCAACCGAGTAACAATGATTCAATTTTGTAAGCACAATTTAATATCTTTATTATAGAATGATAACTTTTTTTTTCTCTATTGTTCCATTTGAATACCAATTCCGAATCGTGATTGTCCCTGCAGGCAAAAAGTCATAAAATGTATATTGATTATCACGTACTAGTATGCAGAACTTCTATCGACCAACACCTCAATACGCACCTTGGCATGTTCCATATCGCCAGTAATTAGAAAACTAAAACCAGGGGCAATCTTCTCTTCTATAACCACACTCACACGTCCTGTTGTATCGACCTAGGATTTTTCGGCAGAGATGAAAATTTCAAGACTCATTTGACGCCAAAATTGAAATACAATTCAGATAATTAAACTTACTTGTCCTCTAATTGTCGCGGCACGGAAGTCGAATTTACCCCCCTTCAAGTATGGTAAATTATGAAACTTATAAATAAACTGATAATACATACTATTCGTGACATGTGTTTGCGTTTATGCAATCTAACATGTTTCCAAACGGTTATATTGATCTTCCCTCTCTTGTCTTGTCAATAGACTCACCACAGTGCATACAGCCCTTCTGCCGCCGTCAAGTAACATCTGCAGCTCAGTACCGAAATCTACCTTTTCATTTATTTTCTGATAATAAGATGCTTGTAATGCTCCTGCTTCCTGATAATTTAATGTAGCAATGTAATCTTTTCCAGTATACTTCATCACGTACTGTTTGACCGTCTCCTCTAAATCGGATGTTAGTTTTTGATACACTATCTCGGTGCCCAATGACAATTTCTGAGTTACTGATTGCAGATAGCTCAGTATGAAAATGCCCGTGGAATCTACTGGTGATGGATTGACTGTCTTGAAATTGAAAGAGTAATCTGAGCCTTGGTAATCTTGTTCCAGTTGGAGCATTGAGTGTCCCGGGGTTGGTGATAGCTTATATTAGGATGGGTAATGACAACAATAGAGTTAGTATCGTTCATCACTACTAGAACATAACAAATCACAGATTAAAAAGAGAAAGCAACAACTGAATCGCTTGATGAAATTACAGCAATCAAATACAATCATGTAGCTATTTTCAACATCTTTCCTAACCTGTGCCTGAACCTTCGTTACAAAATTAGGGGTCCACATATAATTTGCACGTGCCGACAAATTACCATCTGTGTCGACAGTACCGTGAAGGACAGTCTGATGATGCATGAAAAGACAATCTGTATGAACATTCACAAATAAAACCATTTGTATATTCCGTGGGAATATAAGTAATGTTTCGCAGGAGATCGCATACATGAGTATATGCTTACTTTCGTCCCAACATATGCAGTCCCAAAGTTATATGACTGCTGTCCAGCAGACGATCCGAGTGTGAATTGATGCATTACTTGGAAATTATGCGATAACACCTTTGTCAAGTCAGCCCGTGCTCCATCGAACAGATGATTGGTAAGGAAAGTAGCTACAAATAGCGGATCAGTATGATCAGACATAATCCAAAGGCGCGTCTATTCGCCTTGTCGGACGCGCATTCTTCCCCTCCCATCAACCAATAATACGTACATCGCCCCATTCCTGCTGCCACCCATAAACGCAAAAGTCATACTCACTCTTGACTTCCCGATGTAGACCCTCGAAAGTACCAGGGTTGGGCAAGTTAAGCCTCTTTTTATATTCTGAAAACCCATTGAAAATAGATCCCAAACCCCACGAATGAGCAGTCGAAGAACTAGAGCTGCCTTTGGACGTAACACTGTCCCGCGAACCGGCCATGGCCTTGTCGCACTGTTATTTACAGATAAAACGCGTCGACGTTTAGAAGGTGGCCGAAAGGTATCAATGAAAGGAGGAAGATAGAAAGAAAATGGATATTTATATATGGATTTTTTATATCGTGGAACTAAGCATTTATGAAAAGAAATTAGCATTTTCAGACGGCTGTGTAATACCTACCGTGTAAATGCCCTATTACATCACAGATATAATGTCGATCTTGTAACAAACTACCAAATTATAAATACCATTGCAAAAAAAAAAAAAAAAAAAAAAAAAAAAAATCGCAAATCACGATTTTTAATTTTGACCATTGAGGTGGGATATGTTCTATAACCATAATTGTAAGCAGGATGTAGAACAAACAAAGATGATTGTTATTCATTTTGTTGATGCTTTGCGAGAATGTGCATGTTGCGATTATGAGATCATGAGATTACTAAACCCATTAGATAGGCAAGCGTTTGGGATTATGAACCCCGTCTCTGTAATGTCTTTGATTTGAATGTGGTTCATTATACGATATTACAGTCAAAGCTCGTTATAATAGACAGTTGGGCATAACCCATGGATGCCATTATAACGCGAGTCCACAATAACGTG